TTGCATTAAACCTATACTTACAACTTATATATGCAAAGCACTGCCCTTTTTATAAATTCAGTAAAGTATTCAATATAGTTCCTATTGTTATTTTTATCAAGTAATCTGTTAACAAAATACACTTTTTTATTATTCTAATCCTAAACAGACAATGAGTGAATGTGCGGCACATTCAGGTCATAAAAGTATGTGTGTGTGTGCGCATGTACATAAGCTGTACACACAGATGATATAATATTATTGAAATAAAGGCCCACTTAAGTGTACTTATGACTATTTGTAAGCACACTTTTAAAAAGTGAACTTTGTAATAATGTCAATTTTAGCTTTAAAGTACATTTTAAATCATGTTTTAATAATCTTTCATCATGTTTTAAAGAAATACACTTATTTTGATGTGTTGACTAACATCCTAAAGCACATATGATTGTTTTTAACCATAGTGTTATTCAATATTACATATAAAGTTAGTATATTTTAAATATACTAAATTGCATCTCCATCATTACAACATTGTTACAACATATATATTTAAATACGTGACATACAAATTTCAATAGAAATTACATTAAAGTATATTTTAGTATACCATACATTTTTGTCAATACATTCAACACTAAACTTTAACCACATTTCAACGCAAGTCATTTTGAAATTACACATAAAAACGTACTTAAGTCTTATAAGTGAGTCAAAAAGCACTCTAAAGTTCAGCTGATGCATTTATTATAAATTATACTAGAATACATTTTCATTCAGTTCACACTTGATTTTCTATGCAATGTTCACAGTATCCAGAAGAGGGCATTCAGCTATTGTGTAAACTCAGTCTATCTCAAACTTCAGTAATTTTTGCTTGTGTGAGAAAGTTACAGTTGTGGTTCAGATTGTTACTTTGAGGGGCATCAGTCTGCCATAATTAAAGACAGCTTAAATATGCATCCAGTTTATGCCACTGGTGACCACATTTTTGGCATATGGTGTACATTTCTCACTGTTACCCACCTCACCACTACTTACACGCTAACGATGTATGCTTCGTTACATTACAACTTATAAAGCTTGGGCTACAAGTCTGCCAGCCCTCAGAAACTTAACCTGAACAAGTTTTAAATGCAGAAAGATTAGGACAAGCCTAAATAGTTTTCTGTAGTATAGAGGAATGGTTTTGAGTTCCAGAGAACTTGGGGAATCCATGAGTGGAGTCCATCCATGTGTAACAGCATATCACACGACCCACAGCAGACCTTCTCTACAAGCACTGACTGCAGATCTGAGAAAGAACGCAGGCTGCTGCCAAAAAAATATTGCAGCTTCGGTGCATTGAAGAGCGTCTACGGTGAGCATGTTCCCAGAGTCAGAGTTTATGCCAGCTCTGATTCCCTGGTAGCAAAGCATAAAAGAACTCTAGACTGCTCAAGCATATTAATTATGATTCGTAATTGGGAACATCAGGAATTTGCAAGTCAGAATCTCAGAAACAGATGATCAATTAATGCCGGTTTGCTACTATATGCAATTCTTATATATGCGATTCTTTGTATGTAGCATTAATAATGTTAATTATAACTGTATAACTGCATGAAGACCCATATCCCTGTGGATATCCCTTAATCCAAAACACTGTGATGTGCATAAATGTGATATGCATATATGCATAATAAGTTGCTTCATATAACACGTTTTTGAATGTCAGTTGTTTGACAATCTTTATAGCAGCAGATAGGATTTTATTTGTTGCATGATAATATGTAGTTTCATAACACAATGATGCTGGAGAATAGTATGATCAAGACCCACAATTATCATGTAAAATAAGGAAATGCGGTACAGGATACATGGACAGATTTACAAGATTTTACATTATTTCAAGATATCGTTATTATTTGATTATTTTAGGCAATATTGGCCTATACACTGTGCTGTCGCAAGGAAAGCGTACTTACGCACAGCTGGATCAAATTTTCTACTTTTGTACATCTGTCCCCACTTTCACATTTTACAAGAGTCTAACGTTTTAACTTAAGTGCTTAAGATTTAAATTTAAGACAGCAGAGGCTCAGGTATGTCATGTAATGATGTGTCTGGTGCCTAATAAATTATTCATATTGTAAATAATGTACATAACAGTCATTTCGAACATGGTAGTTATATTGTAGTGTCTAAACCCAAGCGATATACTGCCCCAATATCATATAACCAATCAACCAATATCCCGCTCTTATAAGAATTTCCCTATATACCCTATAGTGATTGGGCAATATAGCCAATTAGCTCATGTTGTTTTGACCTCAGTATCTTGAGTTGAGTCTCAGTCACCAGGTATGCTAGAAAAGTGATGCATTCAAAAATCCAAACAAAGTGAAAATTGGTGCAATACTTGGAAGGTGCGGGCGGAGGAATGTTAATGTTTCAGAACTGGTCATTGAAAACCCATAAGGATTGACCACTACTCTGGGGACGACGTGTCCCTCATGATGGTTTTGAACTTGCGCTGACATTTTCAGAGACATAGACAGCTTTTTTCTGTTATAGCATCAAATAAAATGGATATTGATTCTAAAAGATCAGCAGTCGCAGGTCTGCAAAAGCCAATTGGAGATGTCACTGAAATCAGGCATTTCTATTATATATTTGTCATGTCTACCTCAGCTGCACATCAACTCCAATGCACTTATTTTGCATATACTGTAAACTCTATAGATCATATTAAAGCACATATTTCCTTCTTACTCAACACAAGCCCTACCCACCTGTCACTGTATTACTATTTCTTCTAGTGATTCCCTTGCAAGTCTTCTCAACCTGGTCCTGGCGTGCACAACTTGCTCTGACATCTTCATCCCACAATTGTATTATTGTTTTAATATTAATATTACACTCCTGTTTTAATAAATCTTGATTTGACATGAAAGTGTCATGCCATTGTCTTTCTCCAGATAAATGGATGTCAAAACCTATTAGATGTAGACTGACTTAGACTGTACTAGACAACAAACTCTCACTTCATGAATTCATCTCAATTCATGAATATGTCAACAAATTGAAATGGACAACTTAATTGTAATTGCTGCCATTAGATTAAGTAAAACCAATGCAGTGATGCCAAAGCACTTTCTTAAGCAATTGATTTTGAAACACCAAGTGAAATCAGGAAGCAATGACCGAAATTGTTGAGACAAGGTGGATGGACACACAAAATGTCTTTAGGGGTATAAAAAAACAGCCATATGCATTTAGTTTGAAATACCACAGGTACTGTCAGTAGACTCATAATCAGTGTTGGGGAAAGTTACTTTTAAAAGTAATGCGTTACAATATTGCGTTACTCCATAAAAAAGTAACTAATTATGTTACTTAGTTACTTTTTATGGAAAATAATGCGTTACGTTACTTTTGAGATCTGGACAGGGCTTGCTTGTTTGTTTTTAAAATAAAAAAGTTCTATTTTTGGCAAATATAAAAGCCTTTTCACACCAAGAGTGAAGTGAATAAGCCTCAGGCTGAAGGGAAAGTACATTTACGTCCGTACAGTAGAATGCAGAAGAAGACATTTCAACACACTTCAGCAATAAACAAAGACATGCAAATATTCGTCTAGAGTAATTTGAGCTTATTAGTACGGTTGAACTGGATCATCGAAGGTCAGAAGCAAAGACATTGGTTAATAGAACGGGATTAAATACATAAAGCATAATTATTGCAGGTTTGCATCATATTCTGAGTTGCATTATTTTGATTCATTTTGAGGAATACTGAATCAATTTTTTTTGTGTGTGTGAGTGAGATGAATGAATGCATATTCATATTTATTTTGAACTACAGTAACATCTTCTGATTTCTCTCAACATGGGGACAGGAGAGCTGTCAATCAATAAATTGAAAAAAAAAAGTAACTTGCGTTACTTATTTGAAAAAGTAACTCAGATATTCTCTTGTAAATTAAAAAGTAATGCGTTACTTTACTAGTTACTTGAAAAAAGTAATCTGATTACATAACTCGCGTTACTTGTAATGCGTTACTCCCAACACTGATCATAATAATATAACTCTTTTCTGACGATGTAAGAAACGTACAATCTTTCTGTTGATAGTTTATGACACTGATGGCTCAAGTTAACAACGTTTTATTCTAGCCTACTTTAGTAAAAATAACGGATGAGATTAGGGTGTGAATCTGAGCGCGCAGATGATGCAGTGCTGCATGCGCCTGTGATGCCCAAATATACTAAATTGGCAGACCACTGGGTTACCTGAGGTTTGTGATTTTAACCGGCTTGCTGTCTTACCCTGCTGGGGTCCCGTCGTTACAGGTGACTGATGTATTCTCCAGGAAATGTAGCTTCATCTCGTAGTCGAGCTTCTGGGCCGAGCAGGGGTAGAGGGACTGCGCCAAGTTCTTCACCTGAGTCATGAAATTGTCCATGTTTTCTTCAACAGCTGTGAAATCCAGTGAGAAGCTCTCGGTGGTTTCGGTGCGGTCCCGGTAATGAGCGGAGGGAAGCGCTCGCCGCGGCTGCGGGTTTCGCCCTCCGCGCAATTTCCTCGCACCGAGCGCGCCGGACTGAATCAACCCCAGCATCACAGCCCAGTGAAAGACATCCAGCACCCTTATGCTCCTCTGCGGCCGCCTGCACTCCATCGCGCTTTCCTGAAAATCCTGAGAGGCTCCTGAAAATCTGCAGAACCGGTTACACAAAATTCAACAGCAAAACAGTTACACAAAGCCTAAGTAACTTAAGTGAGATGAACAGGTGAGCTTTCTCAGTGCAAAACTTAGGAGTCCTTTATGTTTGTTTTTTTCTCTTTCTAATGTTCAATAGACTGGTTCCTCCACTGCCAAGAAACTCCTAAACGGACTGTGGCGTGCTCTTCTGTTCAATACCTGTGTATTTAGGCGCTCTGGGTTTTAACCCTGCTCTCTTTCGCATGGACCAATCGCTGTGGAGGGCAGTGCAACGGGGCGTGATCCAGGCGCACTGATTTCTGTCCTTTTCATTTATTGAAAAAATGCCCATAGTTTGGTCCTTTTGATCTACGATATTTTACTTGATGTGGTAGCTTTTATTGGCATTGAAATGCCTGTTTCCTAATCCACGCGAATTTATAGAGTGAGAATAAGACTCTTCTGATACACCCGGCTTTTGGTGCATTGGAAAAGAATATATAAATATATGCAACACGAATAGCGTGAGAATCTACAAGTGGCAGTGGAACCTAAAACGCACACAATATTGCTACTTTACTATATATATAACCTAATAATAAAGTAGCAATATTGTGTGCGCTTTATATAAATGTTATGAAGTGACATGTGGCCAAGTATGGTGACCCATTCTTGGAATTAGTGCTCTGCATTTATCCCATCCAAAGTGCACACACACAGCAGTGAACACACACACACCGTGAACACACACCTGGAGCAGTGGGCAGCCATTTATGCTGCGGCGCCCGGGGAGCAGTTGGGGGTTCAGTGCCTTGCTCAAGGGCACCTCAGTCGTGGTATTGAAGGTGGGAGATAGCACTGTACATTCACTCCCCCCACCTACACTCTCAGAAATAAAGGTACAACAGTTGTCACTGGGGCGGTACCTTTTCAAAAGGTACATATTTGTACCTAAAGGGTCCATTTTGGTACCTTAAAGGTACATATTAGTACTTAAAGTGTACATATTAGAACCTAATAGGTACAAAAGTGTACTTTTTGTAAAGGTACCGCCTATTTCTGAGAGTGTACAATCCCTGCCGGTACGAGACTCGAACCCGCAACCTTTGGTATAATTATAGTATAATATATCTATATATAATATAGAACTTATATTTTATAATGTATTATTTGATGCCTAACTTTAAATATAACATTTATGCAACTCTTTTGTAACGAGTTTCCTCCACTAGGTCCAGTGAAGTTTGCTCTTTTTTTTAACTTTCCCCATATGTCTTCACTGCGAACTTATGCAGGTATTTTTGTCAGTATGGAGATTCCGCAACTTTTTTATCTACAAGAGTCTGTTGACGGGGCCCCTGAAGATCAAAGGAGTCAGTCATCACCCTCCACCCGTATGAAGCCCCGTCCAGACTTTCCCTCTGCTGTATAGATTTGGAGTCGGAAGGGAAACCCGCACCTTACAGGAATGCTCCTTTTTTTGTGGCTAAATTAAATGTTTCCTTGCTAGAGTAAATGCATTTGGTAACACTTTATTTCGATAGTCCACTTTAGACATTCTATTAACAGTAAGCAACTTTGCAACTACATGTCAACTAGCAGTTAGTAGAGTGTTAGTAGACTGTCTGCTTAATATCTTCTAACACTTTCTTTGTCATCTTATTCTACTAACCCTAAACCTACCCTAACAGTCTACTCTGAGAGTTAGTAGACATGTAGATGCAAATTAATGAGAATTAGTTGACATGTAGTTGACATGTAGTTACAAAGTTACTTATAGTTAAGATGAATGAATGCATATTCATATTTATTTTGAACTACAGTAACATCTTCTGATTTCTCTCAACATGGGGACAGGAGAGCTGTCAGTCAATAAATTGAAAAAAAAAAGTAACTTGCGTTACTTATTTGAAAAAGTAACTCAGATATTCTCTTGTAAATTAAAAAGTAATGCGTTACTTTACTAGTTACTTGAAAAAAGTAATCTGATTACATAACTCGCGTTACTTGTAATGCGTTACTCCCAACACTGATCATAATAATATAACTCTTTTCTGACGATGTAAGAAACGTACAATCTTTCTGTTGATAGTTTATGACACTGATGGCTCAAGTTAACAACGTTTTATTCTAGCCTACTTTAGTAAAAATAACGGATGAGATTAGGGTGTGAATCTGAGCGCGCAGATGATGCAGTGCTGCATGCGCCTGTGATGCCCAAATATACTAAATTGGCAGACCACTGGGTTACCTGAGGTTTGTGATTTTAACCGGCTTGCTGTCTTACCCTGCTGGGGTCCCGTCGTTACAGGTGACTGATGTATTCTCCAGGAAATGTAGCTTCATCTCGTAGTCGAGCTTCTGGGCCGAGCAGGGGTAGAGGGACTGCGCCAAGTTCTTCACCTGAGTCATGAAATTGTCCATGTTTTCTTCAACAGCTGTGAAATCCAGTGAGAAGCTCTCGGTGGTTTCGGTGCGGTCCCGGTAATGAGCGGAGGGAAGCGCTCGCCGCGGCTGCGGGTTTCGCCCTCCGCGCAATTTCCTCGCACCGAGCGCGCCGGACTGAATCAACCCCAGCATCACAGCCCAGTGAAAGACATCCAGCACCCTTATGCTCCTCTGCGGCCGCCTGCACTCCATCGCGCTTTCCTGAAAATCCTGAGAGGCTCCTGAAAATCTGCAGAACCGGTTACACAAAATTCAACAGCAAAACAGTTACACAAAGCCTAAGTAACTTAAGTGAGATGAACAGGTGAGCTTTCTCAGTGCAAAACTTAGGAGTCCTTTATGTTTGTTTTTTTCTCTTTCTAATGTTCAATAGACTGGTTCCTCCACTGCCAAGAAACTCCTAAACGGACTGTGGCGTGCTCTTCTGTTCAATACCTGTGTATTTAGGCGCTCTGGGTTTTAACCCTGCTCTCTTTCGCATGGACCAATCGCTGTGGAGGGCAGTGCAACGGGGCGTGATCCAGGCGCACTGATTTCTGTCCTTTTCATTTATTGAAAAAATGCCCATAGTTTGGTCCTTTTGATCTACGATATTTTACTTGATGTGGTAGCTTTTATTGGCATTGAAATGCCTGTTTCCTAATCCACGCGAATTTATAGAGTGAGAATAAGACTCTTCTGATACACCCGGCTTTTGGTGCATTGGAAAAGAATATATAAATATATGCAACACGAATAGCGTGAGAATCTACAAGTGGCAGTGGAACCTAAAACGCACACAATATTGCTACTTTACTATATATATAACCTAATAATAAAGTAGCAATATTGTGTGCGCTTTATATAAATGTTATGAAGTGACATGTGGCCAAGTATGGTGACCCATTCTTGGAATTAGTGCTCTGCATTTATCCCATCCAAAGTGCACACACACAGCAGTGAACACACACACACCGTGAACACACACCTGGAGCAGTGGGCAGCCATTTATGCTGCGGCGCCCGGGGAGCAGTTGGGGGTTCAGTGCCTTGCTCAAGGGCACCTCAGTCGTGGTATTGAAGGTGGGAGATAGCACTGTACATTCACTCCCCCCACCTACACTCTCAGAAATAAAGGTACAACAGTTGTCACTGGGGCGGTACCTTTTCAAAAGGTACATATTTGTACCTAAAGGGTCCATTTTGGTACCTTAAAGGTACATATTAGTACTTAAAGTGTACATATTAGAACCTAATAGGTACAAAAGTGTACTTTTTGTAAAGGTACCGCCTATTTCTGAGAGTGTACAATCCCTGCCGGTACGAGACTCGAACCCGCAACCTTTGGTATAATTATAGTATAATATATCTATATATAATATAGAACTTATATTTTATAATGTATTATTTGATGCCTAACTTTAAATATAACATTTATGCAACTCTTTTGTAACGAGTTTCCTCCACTAGGTCCAGTGAAGTTTGCTCTTTTTTTTTACTTTCCCCATATGTCTTCACTGCGAACTTATGCAGGTATTTTTGTCAGTATGGAGATTCCGCAACTTTTTTATCTACAAGAGTCTGTTGACGGGGCCCCTGAAGATCAAAGGAGTCAGTCATCACCCTCCACCCGTATGAAGCCCCGTCCAGACTTTCCCTCTGCTGTATAGATTTGGAGTCGGAAGGGAAACCCGCACCTTACAGGAATGCTCCTTTTTTTGTGGCTAAATTAAATGTTTCCTTGCTAGAGTAAATGCATTTGGTAACACTTTATTTCGATAGTCCACTTTAGACATTCTATTAACAGTAAGCAACTTTGCAACTACATGTCAACTAGCAGTTAGTAGAGTGTTAGTAGACTGTCTGCTTAATATCTTCTAACACTTTCTTTGTCATCTTATTCTACTAACCCTAAACCTACCCTAACAGTCTACTCTGAGAGTTAGTAGACATGTAGATGCAAATTAATGAGAATTAGTTGACATGTAGTTGACATGTAGTTACAAAGTTACTTATAGTTAGTAGAATGTCTAAAGTGGACTATCGAAATAAAGTGTAACCATGCATTTTTTTATCACGTTGTCAGTCAAACAAGCAAATTCCCTTTTCGTCACCACGGTTTAAGGCTTGTGCTGCTCTATTCATTTCATCTCGCTTATTTTAATTTTATTTTATTCACTCGAGACCTTTAGTTCTCTCTGCCTTTACAATGATGTCTTCATTAAAGTGTTTCACACATCGCATTAATGTAATGGGGTTCGCTGGATTCCTGCTCCGGCCATTCATCGGCCATTGAGCGGTGAGATAAAAGGGTGTCAAGTGGCTGGTGTTAACGCAACCCTTAACTTTACACAAGCCTGTTGTTTCAGACCACTGCTCTCACTTTTATGCATGCAGTGCCGTGGAAAAGGGGGAACTCGCCCATTGGCGTCGATTCATTTCATCACTTACTGCGAGTCCTCCTTTGTTCAGATGCTAAACACTTGAAGAATAGATCAGACACTATTCAGACGTAGATACATGGACCATTAAACACTCAAGCCCATAGGTAGGTCTGTCCAACGTTGGCTGCAAAAAGTACTGGGACACTTAAGCTTAAATACAAATAAATAAATAAAAAATACAATAATAATAATAATAATAATAATAAACAGCATTAATTTGCTAATAAAATGTCAGGTTAAATATGAAATATGTTTAATATTAAACTAAAAATTT